AGTACTTTTACCACTGCCTTAACAATGCTATGATCTAGTGTATATTAACTACATAAACTCTCTTTGTTCCATGCTTTTTGGTTTTCAATGTTTTTTTAAGCCACAATGACCTCATTATGTTCTACAGTTAATGTCCATTTACATTTACTCATATAATTACAATTTCTAGTGCTCTTTATTCCTTCCTGCTTTTCTGTGTTTCCACCTAGAATAATTCTTTCTTCCTGAGGAATTCCTGTTAGTATTCTTTAGTATTTCTTTTATTGCTGCCAACAGAGTCTCTCTGCAAACATCTTTATTCCACTTTCACATTTGAAGGATATTTTCCTTCTGCATAAAATTCTAGATGGAAGGTATTTTCTCTCAGTTCTCAACAAATATCTTTCATAGTCTTCTGCCTCCCATCATTCATTCTGAAAGGAAAGCTGGCAGCCTTGTTGTTACTCAAAACACTATTGGGTCTCAATTATTGCATTGTTTTCAATGTGCTGTTTTTCCTACTTAGTTTTTAGCCATTTTACTGTGATGTTCTTGTGTATTTTTTTTTTTTATATTTTCCTTGGTTAGGTTCTGAAAATTCTATAACATTTCCTTTCCTGCGTTTCATCAAGTCTGGGAGATTCTTGCCCTATATTTCTTCAGATGTGGCTTCTGCCTCATTCTTCCTCTGTCCTCTATTTAGAATTCCAGTTGTGAAACCATTGGGTCACTCTGTGCTGTCTGTCTTGACTCCTTTGCTGTCTTCTGTATTTTCTGCCTATTTGTTTACTAAGCTTTGGCATGGGTAGTTTTCACTGACCCATCTTCAAATATATTGTTGCTTTTTTAATCTTTATCCATTATGCCATCATGTTTTCCCTGCTCAGAGGAATGAATAGAGTACCCAAAATGTAATGTATTGAACTGAAATAGACATTTGGATAATCAATGATGGTTTATTGCTCTTGTCTCTTTCATTGAGGAACTGTATTTTGTTTTGCTTTGATTTGTTTTTTCTTCATACTATTTGTTGAACTCTTTTACTATATGAGCATTAAGTGTACTAAAAGAAAATCATTGTAAAAATTAAGAGTGGGAATATGAGGGAAGGGAGGAAGAGTTGGAGCAGGGGTGGGAAGGAGGGTGAGGGGAAGTGCCACTTGTTCCTATAACGGTATAAAGGAAATATGTGAAACTTGTATAACTTAAATAAAATATATATCAAAGAAAATTAAAAAACATTTCTATCTTTTTATTTGAAGGTATTTCAAATATGAAGAAAAATATAAAGAGAAGTTCAGTGAGCACATATATATTTAATGATTTTTAACATTTTGCCACATTTGCTTCATAAGTAAACATATATATGCACATACATACTACTTTTTAAAGCAAGCATATATTCTGGGATTCATGACAAAGATAAAAATAGGAAAGAAGTATATTTTATTATGCAAGGTGCATAATTCAGTGAATATAGCATTTAGAAATATATATATATGTATGTATATATGTGTGTATATATGTGTATGTGTATATATATATATATACACACACACATATACACACCAAATAGTATGGCCATCCCCACATTTTATTATATATATATGTTTACATATATTAATTTTCACTTATAAGAGAAAATGTGGTATTTGTCTTTCTGTGTCTCAGTCATTTCACTTAGCATAATGTTTTCCAGTTCTATCCATTTTTTGCAAATATCAGGGTTTCATTTTTTATAAAAGATTTATTTGTGCAGTTGAAAGGCAGAGTTAGAGAGAGATCTTCCATTCATTGCTACACTCCCCAAATGGCCACAACAAGGCGGGGCTAGGCTGAAACTGGGAAGCCAAGAGCTTCTTTCAGGTCTCCCATGTGGATGCAGTGGCCCGAGCATCTGGGCCGTCTTCTGCTGCTTTCCCAGTTGTGTTGGCAGGGAACTGGATTGGAAGTGGAGCAATAGGGACTTGAATAGGTGCCCATATGAGATGCTAGTGGTTGTAGGCAGCTGCCCAACCTGCTGTACCACAAACCAGCCCCTGACATTTACTTTTTGGAGTAATATTACATTTGAATATTATACTTTTCTTTATTGAGTCACCCTCTGATGGACGTCTGGGTTGATTCCATATCTTTGCTACTGTTAATAGTGCTGCAATAAGTATGGGAGATGCAGGTATGTCTTTTTCATGTGCTGACTTTATTTCCTTTGGATACATTCCCAGAAGTGGGATAGCTGGTCCGTTAGTAGGTCTGTCTTTGTATTTTGTTTCGTTTTGAGGAATCTTTGTACTGTTTTTCATAGTAGCTGTGCTAATTCACCTTCCAACCAACAATGTATTAGGGTTCCCTTTCCTCCACAACTTCACCAGCATTCGTTTCTTTTTTTGGCTTTTTAATGATTTGATAATAGTTATTCTAACTGGAGTGAGATGATACATCTTTCTAGGTGTGTGTGTGTGTGTGTGTGTGTGTGTGTGTGTTTCCATGACAATGAGTGACACTGAGGATTTTTTGATTTGTTTGTTGACCATTTTTATTTCTTCTTTTGAAAAATATCTGTTTAGATCCTTTGACCATTTCTTTACCATATTGCTTACTTTGTTATTGATTTTATTGAGTTCACTATATATTCTGGCTATTAATATTTTATCAGACACATGGCTTGGAAATATTTTCTCCCAGTGTGTCAGTTGTCTTTTTACTTTGTTGTTTCCTTTGCTGTGTAGAAACTTCTGACAAATAGTCCACTTGTCTACTTTTTAATTTTATTGCCTGTACATTTGGAGTATTACCACAAGAAATTGTTGTTTATGCCAGCGCCTTAGAGGATTTCCCCTAATAGTTTTATAGTTCCAGATATTTGATCCATTTTGGGTTAATTTTTTTGCATGGTATATGATAAAGGTGTTAAACTTCAACATGCGGAAATCCAATTTTGCCAACAACATTTATTGAAGAGACTTTAACTTCAATTTTGCATTTTTCTTTTAAATTTTTTTATTTTTAAAAGAAATTCCAGTTTTATTGTAACAATTACATTCTTGTTTTATATATATATATATATATATAGTTGAACATTCTAGTCATAGTTATTCAAAATCCATCTTTGATAACTACAATTACAGGATTATGTATATTTGTCTTTTTATTTACTTTTTCCCCTTTGCAAGCCTAGAAAATATTTGATCAAAATCCAAGCATGATCTACAAAAGTTATAGATACTGTAGTTGAGTTATTATCCTTCAAAGCAGGTCCATCTTATCATTTGGTTGGTAGGTAAAATTGGGATGAATCACCTTTGTTCAAACCCTGGGCTGAGTCATTGCAAGTCTTGTTTTTTTTTCTATTTCTTTTTTGCCCCACTCTCAGAGTGTAGCTCTTCAGAAGTTCTAGTTGCATGTTGGGTGCTTACTTGAATACTGTTCCTCTTTAGCCTCTCCTGCACACCAGGTTTGTTTCCTCTGAACCTTCAGGGTGTAGAAAGCTCTCTTCTGTTTCACAGAGTTTTTGTTTGTTTGTTTAAATCCTTAGATTTTTGTCCTATGAAGCTTAAGAATTAAGCTTACTTTTGCCTACTTCCTGCTGCACCATGTTACTGACACCCTTCATTTCCAAAACGGTGTCTTTCCAGTTCTAGAAGATTTCCAGACTCTGTCTTGCTGTCTCTTCTGAGCTGCAATTCTCTTCAGGATCCTCAGCTTTCTTCCCTCTGCAAGGAAGTATCACTTGCTCTCAGGGGTAAAGTAATTCCCAAAGTATTATCTCACTTCTCTGTTCCCTTCCCTCTGAGTCTTGGCTTTTCCAATTCTGGGTGGCTTCATTAGCCTTCCAATGTTTGAACCAAATTTCTAAAATGTTATGCTTCAAAAGTGACTGTGCCTTAAGCAAAAGCAGATTTCTAAGAATTATTTATGAGTGTCTTCTAGTGTCAGGTGATAACTGTTGGTTGTATATTGCTAATGTGTTTACATATGACATATTTTCTGACTCAAGACTGATGTTTTACTGACTAACATGAAAACATTACTGAGAAACAAGTTGGTGAGAGATTATGTGAGACGTGTACAAATTATAATGTAGAAGCTAAGAGAAAGCACTTTTTTAAAAAAAAAAAAAGATTTTATTTATTTATTTGAAAGGCAGAGTTACAGAGGGAGAGACAGAGAGATCTCCCATCTGTTGGTTCACTCCTCACATGGCCACAACAGCTGGAACTGGGCCGATTGGAAACCAGGAGCTGGAGGCATCTTCCAGATCTTCCACACAGTTGCAGGGGTCCAAGTACTTGGGCCATCTTCCACTGCTTTCCCAGGCACATTAGGAGGAAGCTGGATTGGAAGAGAAGCAGCAGGGATAAAACTGGCACCCATATGGGATACCAGTGCTGCAGCAGAGGCTTAGCCTACCACAACACAATACCTGCCCCAAGAAGGCACTCTTTGCTTAGAGGTGGGAGCAGAGAAGGTGAGTCAGGAATGCTGCCAAGTGGAAGTGTGTATCTAGAAAGAAGCCAGCTCTGAGTCCTCGTTGACTTGACACATTACAACTTTTTTTTTTTTTTTTTTTTTTTTTTTTTGGACAGGCAGAATTAGTGAGAAAGAGAGACAGAGAGAAAGATCTTCCTTCCATTGGTTTACCCCCCAAATGGCCACTACCGATCCGAAGTCAGGAGTCAGGTGCTTCCTCTTGGTCTCCCATGCGGGTGCAGGGTCCAAGCACTTGGGCCATCCTCCACTGCCCTCCCAGGCCACAGCAGAGAACTGGACTGGAAGTGGAGCAACCGGGACAGAATCTGGCACCCCAACCAGGACTAGAACCCAGGGTGCCGGTGCCTCAGGCGGAGGATTAGCCTAGTGAGCTGCCAGACACATTACAACTTCTAAGAATGCCACAGTAATACAGAAAATGTACTGCTGCTTGCTAGTTTAAAAATTGATGGATCTGAAATGTTGGCAGTGTGTTTGAGAATATAAAACTTCTTTGAAAATTCTAACTATAGTGGTTGATTTCTCCACAGGTTTTCAAAGCAATGAATATCCCACAGATCAGAAATCCTTCTCTGCCTCCACCTGAAAGAATGCCTGAAGCCTATTCTGCAAAGATCGCTCTTTTGGGTGCTGGTCCTGCAAGTATAAGTTGTGCTTCTTTTTTGGCTCGATTAGGATACTCTGACATCACTATATTTGAAAAACAAGAATATGTCGGTGGTTTAAGGTAACACATATACTTGTTTCATATTTTTAGTGTCAGAAATTATGGGGAAAATCAATTATGAATATTGATTCATAATCATACAGAAACTTCTGGATCATAGGCTATTTAAAACTTTTTTCCAGATACTTAATTTTTATTACATTAATCTCTTTAAATTTTACAGTTGAGTTTAAACAGTATTTACTTCAAAACTTTTCTGTTTGGTTCTAACAGTGTAAGATAAATGTCAACAGAATATTTAATGGTTATAGGAACAATCATAAAATATCACTTTATCCCTGTGAATATCTGAATCAAATGATGGACACTAAAGATGCAGAAAAATTAGCTCCATAGACTGTTAGACTTTTCATTTTATTGTATACATAGACATTATCCTACTTAGCTATTTTCAGTTCATAGTCTCTTGAGTGTGAGTCAATTTTAAAACATGTGATATAAAAATGAGAAGAGTGGTACTGGTATGTTAATAATAATATTCAGTTATTCAATTTAATATTTTCTTTCCTAAATGTATTATATCAAAAGGTTGTGGATTATAATGAAATACAGCCAGTTGAAATATATTTGGCATTTTAATTTTTTATGACTAAGGGACTATTTTCTAAATAATAAATTTATCATAGCTAACAATCACAGAAAATAAAATTAATCAAGTTATGATTAAAATTTGCAATGCATATAATGTGTTTTTGGCTTGCCTCTAAAAATGTCTTTATAAATCTATAAATTTCAATATTGGTCAGTTGATACAATGAAGCCCAAGACAATATAAAATAACCAGTGACATAGAAGTTGCTATATTAATTGATATAAATATTTATATATAAGTTGTCATTGATATTAAAGTACTTGAATTGTGAAGCAAAACTGTCGCATGTTAGGATAAAATATGAAGTATAGGTAGCCTAAGTGTCAAGAAATAATTATTTTTCCATAATGATGTTTCTCTACTATGAATTTCAGGGGATTATACATATTTTACATTTTTTTCTGGGGAGTAAAATGTCCAATATATTATTTTTCAGGAAGGATTTATACCATTTTTTAGAATGGCATCTTGCCACAGCTTTATTAATTAGGGAAAGCTTAATCTACCAACAACATATGTGTAAGCATCATAGGGGTTTATAAAATTATGCACATCAGTAAATATGTGAGCTTTTAAAAACAGGCCCCTCAATTGTTAAATACCAAGGTAGAATAGGAAAAATCTCCCTGCCCCTTAATTGGGTTTTCACAAAGGCTTAAAATGAAACCAGCCCTTTTGTGAATTTTTCTGTGTTGCTAATTTTGGAAGAAGATTATAGTAGTTAGCATCTCTGTCCTTTTCTTTCTCATCTAAATGTAGTTTAGAATTCCTAACCACATAAATTAAGCACTAAACTTGTGATTTTTATTTGTTCTTTTTAACAATTTCTAAAGGGTCCTGTTCTCCTGGATTCATGACCAAACATATCATTGAAAAAGATTTTTTTCTTTGCTTTTGAATCTCAGCAGTGTTTAGGGACAATATGAAGTATTTAATCAGGCTTATTTGTACTGTCCCATGGTGGAGGCATTCTGTGTCACTGTTTCAGGATTATAAAAACTGACACTGGAATTTAGCCAGGATTACAACTGTAAAACTTTCCTGTTAATTTATTTTCTCAGTTACAGATGCCTTTCCTTCTCTTGTCTCTTCAAAGTGGCTAAAAAAGAGTAAATTAACTTTGTATTTGAAATCAATGTTGTAAAGAGATGATGTCAAGTTTTATCTTTCCTTCTCCTTTGCCTCCGAACAGGATCTTTTATCCCTGGTGAATTAGTATCACAACCACTTTTTTAAAAATCAGTAGATTTGGTGAAAGACACCCAGGATTTAATCCTTTTTGTATTGAACATGATTGATTATATTTGATGCTACAACAATTTTTATAGTAATTAGTGGTTTTGCTTTCATTCACATGTGGCTTCCTTTTTGTCAGAACATAAGTTTAAAAGGGTTAAAAGAGCTTGATATTCTGATAACCAATATAAATAAAATAGTGTTAAAGGATTTTAGGTGTGTGTGCACATATGCGCTTCATAATTTTTAATTTTAAAAATGAATAACCATGAAGTAGTTGGATAGGACAGTCAGGGAAATGCTATCCCATTCTTTATTTTGTCTAAAATATAGTGTTTTCATTATTTTTATTGCATTTCATGTTGACATTAAGAAAAAAATGAGATCTTTGTGAAACATACAGGCACTTCAACAAATTAATGTAAAATTAAATTAAAATTTGGTGCAGAAAAATTTTGATGCTAAGAAAATTTTGAAATTGTCTTTTATTTCCATTTTTCTTAAACTTTTAAAAATACGCTTATAGTTACAATAAGAAATATTTGCGAATTTATGTAATGCAATTTTAAAGTTATTTACTATCATATTTTCACTTTTTTTAAAAAAATTGTTTATGTGGGGTATATTGTGGCCTAGCATGTTAAATCATCACCTGTGATGCTGGCATTACATATGAATGCTGGTTTGAGTCCTGGCTGCTCCACTTCCAGTCCAGCTCCCTGCTAATTTGCCTGGCAAAACAGCAGAAAGTAGCCCAAGTTCTTGGGCCCCTGCACCCACAGGGGATACACTGAAGGAGTTGTAGGCTCCTGGATTCAGCCTGGTCCAGGCCTGGCCATTATGGCTGTTTAGGGAGAGAACCAGTAATGGAGGATTGATCTTTCTTTTCCTCTCTCCATCTCTCCCTGTCTCTAACTCTGACTTTCAAATAAATAAATGATTCCTTAATAAGTACATAATTAATTAACAGATAAATACATTTTTGTATGCCCTGACCTCTCTGTGTCCTGAGCAACAAGATCATAATTCAGATCTCGGACTTCTATTTTAGTACATTTTCTGTTGCTATAACAAAACACCCGACACTGTAATGTCTAAAGAAAAGAGGCTTATTTTCTTCACTGTGTTGGGGCTTGATAGTTGAAGATTGGGCAACACTATGTGTTTGACCTCTGATGAGGCCTTCCCCACCCCCAGCTTTGTCACAGCATGGAAAGGGAACAGGCTGTGGTGAGCCAAGTGTATGGATGGCTTCCCTTTGTAACAACATGCTCTCATGAGAACTGACTCCTCATAACCATCATAAATCCCTTTCAGCAGTGGTAACCACACAACTTAGTTACCATGCACTGGATCCCACTTCTTAAGGCACATCATCTCAAGACAACCAAAATGGTGATCAAGCCGCCACCACAAGGACCTTTTGGGAAACAAAGCACATCCAAAACACAGCACATCTCTTCTTTATAAACTTTACCACACCAAGGTTGCTTTACTGTAGTAGCTCCCAACTGGGTCTCTTGGCTTCCTGATTTAAAATCCATTCTTTTTTGAGTTTCAAAGTCTGATTATATAACTGTTCTCAGAATCTTGCAATACCTATCCATCACCAAAGAGAAAAAGATTTGCATACCCCAAGAAAGTCTTTCTTGATCAGCTTTTCATCACTACAATGAAATACCAGAGGTAGGCAACTTAATAAAGAAAAGGGTTTTATGTTGGTTTTCAGTTCTAGGGACTTCATCTGGTGAAGCACAGCACAGAGCATCACATGGTGAGAGACAGAGAGTGAACGTGTGTGTCTGGCTGGCCAGTCTCCCTCTGCTTAAACTATTAAGATTCAATCATTACACTCCACCACTGGTTTGAATGCTTTTAAAAGGGTGTGTCTATGATAATACCAATTATATCCCAATGCAGGCATACTTTTTCTTTTTTTAAAGAAATGCATTTTTGTATGTGAAAGGCAGAGTTAGAGAGATGAAAGAAATCTTGCAGCCTTCTGTCAACTCCCCCAGTGTCCACAATAGTTGGGGGGTAGGCAGCCTGAAGCCAGGAGCCTGGAACTCCATCTGGGTCTCCATGTGGGTGCAGGGGCCCAAGCACTTGAGCCATCTTCTGCTTTCCCAGGTATGTAACTGGGGAGCTGGAACAGAAGTAGAGCACCGATATGGAATGCCAGTATCTCAGGCAGCGGCTTAACCTGCTACACCACAAGACTACCTCTAAAAAAGCTGTATTTTTAAAATATTTGTTTACCTGTAGAAATGTGAAAACTAAAAATGGCAGTTTAATGGTGTACTTAATGTGTTAGATGCCAAAGATGGAGTCAATTTTGACATTGTTATCCTCTAGCTTATACAGTAACAGTACTTTAAATATGTTATTTAATAATCAGCCTTAATTATTTTTGAATCATTTCCATTAAACAAAAATTAACAATTAAAATAATCATTTTAATATTAAAGATATAGTAGACACTGTCACTATGTTGGATTTTGAGCACTATAAAAACTCCATACGGTCATATAAAGAAACAAAGTTGAGGCAATCCATATTGCTGCATATGCCATCATTTTAGGAATCCTAAGTCAACTGTTCAAATATCAGAAATGTGTCATATCCTGGGTGTTGAGCCACCTGTTCCCCTGGGAAAATGGGATAAGGAATGCCAGTAGCTCAGTCAGCATGTGCTGATGGTCAGTGTATACATGGAGTTCTCTATTAACTCCCCTATAGAACATAATGTTAAAGAAGCAGTAATAAAAATTGAATCATTTCAAGCTTACATATATGGACAACTGTAACAACTATTTAGAACTGAAGGTGATAATTTTTGTTTTGACGATGAGACATTGTTCAGAATATCATTGACATTGTTAAAAATTATGAGCCCTTAGAAAAAATATGACAGGCTCCTTTTAGTAAGTTTTATAATTGCAGTTAAATAATCTAAAAACGATGCTACCCTCCTTCCCACTGCTTGCAGCTGGACTTGGTATAGAGTTAGTAAAGGAATCAATGTGATGTAGGGATTTGGGGCTTGAACAATTCATCTAATGGAATTGTCTGAGGACCACTGTTAGGTGGGGGGGAGGAACAAAAGCTTAATTTTAGGCAAGATTACCTTGAGGTCCCTATTTCCAACCAGATGGATATTATAATACCTGGAATTTTGGTTTAATTATAGAGATGTGGAAGTCATCATAGTTATGACATTTAAGGGCCTAAGACATTTCACCCATTTAATCATCTCATCCCACAATGAACTTTCCATCATTTCAAACTCTCTTGTTCACAATTGGTATTTTATACTTGTCACAGTATATGGTGCATGCATGTCTGTCTACCAACTGTTTGCTGATCTCTTTTATTAGTGAATATAAATATGTCACATTGGAATCATCAATAATCACCTCCCTACCCTCTGCTTATTTGACTATGACTAAATCCAGCCATTTCTTATGTCTCCCATGTCACTTATTTCCTCTAGGGGACCTTGGAAAACAAGTTTCTCTCACATTTGTATTAATTTAAAACATGTAACAAGCATGTTGGTAGGTGGTGGCTACAGTAGTTTGAGGGTAAGATGGGGTGCTAAGCAGAGTGCTAAGCAGAAGCCTGGGGTGTGTTTGTTCTGATGTAGCTTCAAGTGTTCACAGCCAAGCTGCTGTGAATCCAGTAGGCTCCTTCCTCCTCGCTCATGTTTCTTCTGTTTGGGTGGGTATACCTCCTTTCTTTCTGAGCAACAGAGAATTTGTCTGCTTCTTGTAAGCTGGTCTGTCAGTTATTTCTTAAATGGGAGGCACTGGCCTCCACTTGCACCATTTTTCCCTCTTAATTTCTTATACTATTTAGATGTCATAAAAATCCCAGAATAGGGCTTGGCTGAGCAAGGTGCTTGCCTTACTATGTGTTCTGATGTATTTAAGATGCTCACTGTGCTGTAGTTGGTTGGTTGGTTGGTTGGTTTAGAATTATTTATTCATAGCTTATTGTTTTGGCTTCCTGTGCAGCCTACATCAGACCCTAGTTTTCATTCACTGACTAGACATATGTGGACTTATTTCTTTCCTATAGATCTCAGGCCTGTTAAGGCTGGGTATCCACGTACAATCCACAAGAGTTAAGATTTGTGCTTAGCTTTTGAAGGTTATCACCTTCTGTGGTGTCCAGACCGTCTTGAGGATCTCTGACATATAATGTCTGGGGTTCACAGTTCAGTCCAAGAGATTCTTATATTTGACCAAGGCTCAAATTTAATGTTACGTATAATTTTCTATTTTTAACTTGATGGAAAGATACTTTGGTCTGAGGTCTTGATTTTATATTGTAACTGCAAGGCATTTTTATAGCATTGTGAATAGTGCTTGCTGGTTGCTTGGTAAATGTAAATTAATTCTCTTAAGTCTTAAGAAAAAAACAGTTGCCTGTGTACTTTGTAGTTTTTCATTAGATGATCCAGAACATTCATCTTCATCAATTGTTTATTTTAGAAATTGATCTCTATAAACCTAGATGTTTCTTTCATTGCACATACTTTTCCCTATTGCAGTTATCTTTTTATGCATTTTTTCCTCACCAGAAAGATTACTCAAGAAAAAGTAGAAATCTACCAAATTTGTCATCAAATCACTGTAGCTAACATTGTGCCTGACACTTTGTGTATACCAGTTACATGAATAGATGCATGATTGAACAGATACATATAGCCTTTTTGTTGTTTGAAACATTGAAGTTGTTTGATCCTTCCTTGCACCGTCTGATGTATTATAATAATAAAATAATTATATGACAGGTATCATAATTCTCTTAAGTGCAAATAATAACCACAGATATCAAAGGTTTACAGTTTTGCTAATTGTGTCCTCTCAACACGCTGATTGCTGTCACAGAAGTCTTGCTTATTGTAAAAATGTTCCATGAATTCCATGGAACTGATGCCATAATGTTTAGAACAGCATGGTAATCCAGAGTTCCACATTTATATTTTGAGAAGCTAGAGGCATATTTCCAAAATATATATGGGTATGCATGTATACATATATATTTAACTATATCTAGTTTTAACTAATTTTTCAGATCCATCTTAGGAATTCACAGAATTATTATTTATCAACTAAATAATTTATTAAACTTAGAAGTATTGGAATTTCTTTTTACCAATTTTATATTTGTTATTTCCCATTTTTATGATTTTTTATTTTATTGTCAAATCCATTTCTACTGTAATGTTAATCCATGTAATGTTTTACCATGCTAATCTTAGAAATGAGGATGTATTCATGCTCACATCATGAAAATGTTTAATACCTAGAAGATATGCTTATTCTGGTAATATTGATAAAGACATGTTCCATTTTTTTAAAGAATGGTAATTTTTTCACTAATGTTGCTGCTGGTTCTTCTTTTTTGTAGTACCTCTGAAATCCCTCAGTTCCGGCTGCCATATGAGGTAGTGAATTTTGAGATCGAGCTAATGAAGGACCTCGGTGTAAAGGTATATGAAAAACGTAACTATATGTGTATTGCTCAGAAAGCAAACAGGCACTGTACTAAAGATTAACAGCAAATGTCACACGTTTTAGGAACGAACAATTAAAAGCTACACCAGGCAGAAGCAGAAAGATGCTTTCCTTGCTTAGGGCATTTGTCTGTCTACTGTCTGAATGCCACTAGCTTGGAAAAGGGCAATCAATAGTTCTCATCTGGCACGCCTGCATGTGATTAATTGTCTGTAAGAAATAAATTCCTAAATTGCTTTAGGGGTTCAGTGCAGCTAGTAGAAGGATTTGGTTTCTTTAATCACGTTTTGCCATGCAAGTTGTATGTACTCTGATCCATTAGTATTTCACAATTTGAAACATAATTTCTAACAGAATTTTATTTTATTTATTATATGCATGATGTCAGTATTGTTAGCATGTTAATCCTTCCTCAGCATAAGCAGTAAATCAGTGGAGTAGAAAGCAACAGCTTTGTGTTTTTCATTGTTGGGCAAAATAAATACTGTGTAGTTATTTTAAAGATGGCTGAAAGGTTGATATGTTACACTTTCAGGATATAGCATTAGATGTTTCTATTCTTTTCAATTAAGAGTGTTGTACTCTGACTCTTCACTTAAACATATTGTAATTTTTGTTTCAAAAGTATTAATTTTCAGTAATGAATATAAAACAATAATATACTGTGATTTACATATACTTCTGTAAATATATGCGCAAGATATTTTCAAAGTGCTTTAAAAAGGCCTTTGTCTTATACATTTGTCAATAAAATTAAAAGTTAATCAGAACGAGGGGAAGCGCCTCAAATAGCAATGTATGCATTTATAGGTCTTGTTACATTTTATTTGACAGTAGTTGGATAATGAACTGTTCACATATAACACTAAACAAAACTGTGTGATAGCAAAAACACAGCATAGATGTACACAACTCTGTGAAAACTCAATATCCAAATTATAGTGCTAAAAATAGACAATTTAGTGATGGTTACTTTTAAAATTTTTTTTAAGTTTTAAGGATTTTATTCAGTGAGGGAAATTAGTAGGAGAGTGACAGTGACGGCTTTATTGAGGGAAGAAAGAGAAGTCTAGAAGTTAAGTTGGATCCATACCAAGCAGAGAGCAGGCCAGGAGCAAGCCACGTGTAGCAAGCAAGCAGGCAGGAAAGCAGAGGGGGTTGCCGAAGTCCATGTGCCCTGAAGGCACAGGCAACAAGGGCAATAAAAAGTAGGGCCCACTGTGTTCCAGGCCTTTCATCTACTTCCAAAGAGGAGTGGTTACATAACCTGATAGGCAGGTGGGTATACAGGTAGGGTAAGGTAGGGCCATGAGATCACACAGAGGGCTTGGTGGAGGGCATGGACTCCACCTTAAATCTAATCAATTTTAAGGCATGGTTACTTTTAATGGAAAGTTCTTTAAATGCCTTCCATTTTGAATTTAAGCTATTACAGAATTCTCACTAAATAAGGAGATGATTATTTACTGAATCTTTGAACTAATATATTTGGTATTACCACCAATTATAGATGAATCCAAAATTACTCTAAGTCATTTCTAGATTTATGTTGTAAATAATTTTAAAAGTGTATTCAATTTTTACTGGATAAGATATATTGTATAATTTATGCCATATCCATTACTCATATTTGAAAGCTCATCAAGACATTGATAATAGACAATGTATTGAGTGCAAAAAGAGTGGATTTCAGCTACAGTCATGTAGCTTCCTAATTTTGTAGTCAAATAGCTGTGGCAAATTCAATTAATTTACATAGCCTCAGTCAGTATCTATTCATCAGAAAAAGTATGCTACTGTGAATTGTGTAGGAAATAACATATAAGCTTACTTATGCATAGAATATCTCTGGAAAGAGATAAGAATCTGATATCACAGATTGCCTTTGGGAAGACAGGGATAGAATTCATCACCATTTTGTACCTTTGGATTTTAAACCCTGTGAATGTATTACATTATAGAGAAAAATTAGAACGCCAATTGAAGAGCAAGTTGATAGTATGGTCATATCCATATCTTAGGTAATTGTAAGATGCAAAGGAGACAAAATACTCAAATTTGCTGTGTGAATAAGAAATTGAAGGCTGGCACTGCAGCTCAATAGTCTAATCCTCGGCCTGTGTTGCCGGCACTCCGGGTTCTAGTCCTGGTTGGGGTGCTGGATTCTGTCCCGGTTGCTCCTCTTCCAGTCCAGCTCTCTGCTGTGGCCCAGGAGGGCAATGGAGGATGGCCCAAGTGCTTGGGCCCTGCACCCCATGGGAGACCAGGAGAAGCACCTGGCTCCTGCCTTCGGATCGACGTGGTGCGCTGGCCACAGTGCACCAGCCACAGCGGCCACTGGAGGGTGAACCAATGGCAAAAGGAAGACCTTTCTCTCTGTCTCTCTCTCTCTCTTACTGTCCACTCTACCTGTTTAAAAAAAAAAAGAAATTGAATATACAAGTGTGAGGACAGACAGAATTTTTGTTGCACATTGGAGGTTTACATCCAGGATGAGTTCTCTTACAGGCTTTTATAACCAACCAACTTTGGCCAAAAGAGCGTTCATTTTTAAGAAGTGGTCTACATTTATTACCATCATTTTCTCATCATCCAAATTTTCCTTATAATGTGCCTTCTGGTTGTCCCTCTCAGTTAACATTATACATTTCAAAGTCAAGAATAACTTTGGCAGTGAAATGAACTTTTCTTAATTTATGCTGTTTGAATCCTGTGGAGCCTGTGATGTATAAATTCTCCTATATTTGTATTTATTTTGGGCTTTCATGATCTTATGGTTTCATCTATTCGTCTGCTTTTTCTGTCTAAAAGATTTGTTTCATTTATTCAATGAATAACTATTCAGTATACGCTTTTTAAGAAGATTTATTTATTTATTTGAGAGGCATAGTTAGAGTGAAGAGACAAAGAGAGAGAGAGAGAGAGAGAGAGAGAGAGAGAGAGAGAGAGAGGTCTTCCATCCTCTGGCTCACTCCCAAATATCTGCAATGGCTGGAGCTGGACTGATCTGAATCCAGGAGCAAGGAGCTTCCTCCAGGCCATAGCAGAGAGCTGGATCAGAAGTGGAGCAGCTGGGACTTGAACTGGCAGCTATATGGGATGCTGGAGCCACAGGTAGATGCTTAACCTACTCTGCCACAGCACTGGCCTCAGTATACACTTTTTAAAATATATTTACTTACTTGAAAGGCAGAGTTAGAGAAGGAGAGAGAAAGAGAAAGAGAGACAGAGAGAAACTTTCATTCCCACATGGCTGCAGTGGCCCAAGGACTTGGGCTATCTTCTACTGCTCTCCCAGGCCATAGCAGAGAGCTGGATCAGAAGAGGAGCAGCTGGAATTAGAACCGGCTCCCATATGGGATGCCAGCACTGCAGGTGGAGGATTAACCTACAGTGCCATGGTGCCGGCCCCAGTGCTATATTCTTAATAGTTTAATAAGCATAGCTATCCATCCAAATAACATAACCAGTTATGTCCTCAACCAAGTTCAATTTAGCATCTCTTAATTATCTTGTTCAGCTAAGTTTCCTGTTGAATAATTTATTTCATATCTAATAGCCAGTTCATTCTCTTGAGTTCTAAGATGAATTTTTCAAGTCAAATATCATGCCACTAGAATGTGATGAGATTCTTATCTATTCTTTATATTTTATATTTATTTTTTCTTTTGTTTCAATGGCTGGTATCTCTAGTACATTAAGGATAACACATTGAATCTTTTTTGTATTTTTGAGGTAGCATTTTTAATCATATCAGATAAATATTATCACTTCCTAGTCTTAGCTTACCAAATTTTATAAACTTTTTAAGACAATGAAGGATGTTAACTTTTTCAAATACTGTTTTAAAAACATGTTCAGTGTTTCTGTTGAATTACATTAATATTTGCATTTCTGGATCAATTTTTATATCTCTTTTTATTTATATACATATAGAACTAGATTTGTTAGCATTTTCTTAAAATTTTATTATGCATAGACATTTATATTAGGAGTATTAAAGCTAGAACAATAGCGAGAAATAGTCAAGTGAGTTGCTGCCCTTGCAGAGTTTCAAATCAAAGCTGATTTTTGTTTTTTGGTTCCTTTTGCTTGTTGTCTTTGTGAGTTTTGGGGATACAATTATGTTAGCTTTATAAAAATAAACTTCTAAGCATTTAGTTATTTTGTCATTGGTATAAATATTTTTGAGTCTTATATTTTTCATTAAATTTGTAATTTTATTCTGATTTCAAGGCCTTTTTAACAGACAGAACATTGATCATTCTTTTTCACAATTTGTTATTCGTCTTCTTTTATTCCCTTGTTAATTTTGCTAATGTAAATTATCCTAGGAAGCAGCTTTTTTCTATTTGAGGCATTTTTAGTTTATTAACATAATCAAGCATTATTCTGATATATAATAAAATATCTTTTTTTGCTTTCTCAACTGTTGTATTTGTTTTTCTTATATTATTAATTAATGTATTTGAGAAGTAGAGAAAGATAGAAAGAGCTCTTATCTGCTCGTTCACTCTCCAGATGCCCACGGACTAAAAGCCAGGATCCCGGAACTCAATTCAGATCTCCCACATGGGTGGCAGGAAGCCCACCACGTGAGCTGTGTCCCATAGTCTTCATTGGCAGGAAACCAGGGTCAGCTGCTAGATCCAGGAACTTTACTCTGTCATTGTGACATGGGTCTCAGGAGTCGCATTCAGCATCTTGCTGCCATGCCAAATGCCTTCCTTCTCTTGTATTTTCTTAATGTTTTCTCTTGATAAGAATAGGTCATGCTTCCATTAGTTAATGCACTTTAAAAGACAGATCTGAAAGTTTTATGTTTCATAACCATTCCTTACTGGCTAATCTTTATTCCTCCTCCTATAATTGAATCATTGTTTCTTTTTCCTTCTTTACTTGGGTTCTTACTTAATGTTCATTTTTGCAAGTTGGATAATGAAAATATTTAAGATTATTAATTTCATCAAAGTAT